GAGCATCTTGGGTTTTTAGTCTTACCGATGAAACAAAAAATATAATTAATTAAAAAAAAATAATAATAATAATAGCAAGAATAATGTGTGTACTTACATCTACAATTGTTTAACTAGAAAACAATATTTTGGAATTTCCTACAAGCACTCTGTGAAAGTAATGTAACAGTATACAAAGGGTAAACAATTTTAAGGATTACAAGAGTTAATGTACTCCAGGGCAAATTCGCAAACCGCAAAGGGACACGCTTTACGATACCGGAGTATAGGTCCTAAAGTAACAGATACTAGGGACGGTGACACGCAGTTAGACCAGGCCTGGGGCATTTGATTGTACATTTCACAGGAGAAAGAAGCGATGTGACATTTTATAACTGAAGAAAAGATATACAGATATAAAAAATTAAAGAGAGTTTTAGAGGAATTTCCTGGGGTTACTGGCATTGAAGCGGCGACGGTGGAAAGTGGCAAATAAGCACAAACCGAAACGCTTAACTTTAAACATTGCACAGAAGTCCACTGATGATGATGGCCTCAATTATTATTTCACGGCATTATTGGTATGTATTGTTCTATATTTTGTCGTTCGTGTTCATATTTTGTATAACCTCTATATAACCCCTTGAGGCTCTAAAAGGGATGTTTTGGACAGTAAGTAATTTGGGACCGGTATTTGGAAGAGTGACATCAAAACATAGATTCTATTAAACATGAAAGAAATTCCAAGGCTTCTAAAGCAAGTAGATTGTTGAAAAAAAAAAAAACCTAAAGAAAGTGAAAAAATAGAAAGAGTAATACTAACTCTAATGTTTGCATCGAAAGCAGAAAGAGACGACAGTTGAAACTGGCGAAGAAGAAGAACTGTTAGCGTATATTAAAGTGTGTTTATGTTTAGTTTAATACTGTAAGATAAAATGTTACCATTTTTTAAAAATAATTATATCTTCGATTTTTGTCAGCCACATCTTGGTTTTTTTTTTTTTTTGAGGCCACATCTTGGGTTTTTGTCAGCCACATCTTGGGTATTGACAAAAATGTCATTGAAATTCCGCCATAGTAGTTGCTCTCAGTAATCGCATTAATAAAGTAACAGAAAATATAAGAAGAGTTTTGTTATCCAGTTTTGTTTTATTTCTTTCGTGTCTGATTAGCCTCTCATTTCCATCTTTGGACTTCTGGTACAAAACGTAAGTAACTGGATTAGAATTTAGATGTTAATCACCGTTACACTGGCACTGAGTTATCTACCTTGTCTTTTCCCCCTCCTGTTGCTGGAGCACAATATAAACAGGTTTTTGAGGTTTTCAACAACGGATCAACATCATGGCACACAGGTAGTAACCCACAAGTGCTCCGTTCTTCTTCTAACTCCACTTTGAGTCCGAAGAAGCTCAGCACAGTGCACACACTTTGTATCACCGGCGAGGATCCTGAAATACTTTGGGTAGATAACAGTCACTAGATGAAGCACAAGCGGGTTTCAGAGAGGGTAGAGGTACTGAACTAAGAATCACAATCACATATTTAACCCTTTTAGCACGGGAAGTTTTTCAGAGGTCTAGCCAAAAACACGGAGCATTTTTTCAGTGAATTTGGTTATTACTTTATTTAATTTTTTTTGACAGATTTCGGCACTCTTCCGAATACCGGCCCCATATTATTCAAAGACAAAAAGACCCATTCAGGGCCTCAAGAGGTCGTTGTTAGGGACTTGAGAGGTCATTTAGTTAAAAATATGGAACAGGAACACTACAAACTATGATTTCTTTTATTATATAATTTCATTTGAACGAAATTAACGCTCGTTGTGTTGTGGTTACAACTAGGCTGCGATATTTGCGCCCTTCGCTCAGTCTTGTGGTTAACAGCTAGGCTGCGATAGCGGGCGCGAAGTGCTAAATGGTCATGTCAAGGGCAGCTAATCTCTTTTTTTGTTTTTGTTTTGTTCGCCCTTGAAATGGCGGTTGGCATAGTGTATTGTGGTTTACAAATACGCTGCTATATCTGCGCCTTTCGTGCTAGGTTGCGATATCTGCGCCTTTCGCCCCAACACATCTGATTTCAGCAGTCCTAATTAGTTGCCTTTTACAACATTCTTTTCAGGTGGCAGTGGATCAATTCTTTTTTTTTTTCCTCCTTGGAACCCACAAAAAATGTCTTGTGTGTGACTTGTCGCTACTTTGAAGGGCATCAATACGTGGTTATTATTGTTACCGAAGTCGATTATTGGTTGGTTGTAATAGTCCCTGGTTAAACAGATACAGCCTAATAAAGACTCGTGAAATATATTGAGCTGACTGAGTTTCCTCGGGAGAAGGGAAAAGGCGTTTTTCGATATAGATATACTTTTGGTAAGATGATAAAAGATGAAGACTGCAGGTTACTTGTATATTGCTTAACTAATGTTTGCACCTACTTTCACTGTTTACATGCAGTAGTTCAAATATTTCCATTTTTGAAATTTTTATTTTCGAAAAATGGTTAGATTTTCTCTTTTGGCACAGTATGAAAGTATAATAGAATCAATCAGGTCACAGGCATCCGTAAATGTTCTACCCTGTTGTCCAAGTTCCGCCCTTGTGATTACGAGTATGTTGTAACATCACTAGACATCACTAGGTAGATTACGTGTATCACATTAATGTGCGAAATTCGCTTGCTTGGACAACTGGACCCGCTATCCTGATTGAACTCTGGACATCAAAGTTGTCGGCTGGTCTGAGAATGCCCGCTACGTCTCAACTCTAACCCGTGGTAATTAGCCACCTGCCTGTCCGCAAGTTCAGATGGTTATGTCTTCTGTCCGTTCGACTGGAAGATTGCATAATTCTTCAACGTAGATGCGCTCCCTGGTCCAGCTGTTAAGCTAACGTTAAATTCCACTGAGATAAATTGTTGGTTGGTCAGACACTTTGATCGCTGCTAGGAAGATCGCTTGGGTTTGCTGTTCAGTTACCTCATTGTTTCACTTTGTAAAGGTTTCTGTTGGACTTGTGTACTTTTGTTGTTGTTGCGTTTAGAAGGAATTCTGTACTCACCGAATGCACCTCGTCACAGTCTCTTTGCGAATTTGTGCACTTGCGTAGATAATTAATTGCTTATCGGCAAAAGTTGCGAATAAAGTGGAAATATTTCTTTGATAATTTGTGCAGCTACTTTTAATTATGGCAGGCAGACCATCGGCTCCAAAACAGATAAGCAATAATATTCTACAAGTTGATCAACTGGCAGCTGTAGATGTCAGACCTGATGATTTATATAGAATAATGAACGATAAACTACAGTGGTTGCAATGGCTTGCTATGCACAGAATAATACGGAACTCAGTAGACTGTTCGTCTTGCAACCGTCGGATGTCATTAGTGTCAAGGCTAGAATGTTTCGATAGATTCTCTTGGCGATGTCGTCGCTGTAATACTCGTTGCAGTGTACGGACGGGTTCGTTCTTCGCTAATTGTGAACTCCCAACTGAAAGAATTGTGATGGTAATGTTTTACTGGTTGTTCGAAGTCAAGCAAAAAAATGTGATGTTTTTTGAGAGATTGACAAGCTGTGATACTATAGTCAACTGTAACAATTATTTTCGGGTAGAGTGTTACAACTGGCTGCTGCTTAGCAACCCTCAGTTGGGAGGATTTGATGCTAACGGACAGTCAGTGGTTGTTAAAGTTGACGAGAGCTATTTTTTCCACCGCAAGTACCATCGTGGTTACTTACGTCGTGGTTAATGGGTAGTTGGGCTAGTTGAACGTGGTAGTGGTCGTTGCTGGTTGGAAGTTGTTAATAGGCGAGATGCGACAACATTGGAACGCATCATAAGTGAGCATGTGTTACCAGGAACGACAATTGTCACCGATGCCTGGCGAGGCTACAACAACGTTGGTCAACTCAACAATGGCATATATGAACATCTCGTTGTTGTTCATGCTATTAATTTTGTTGACCATGTACACGGAGACATCCACACCCAAACAATTGAAGGGCTGTGGATGCAAGTAAAAAGGAAACAGCGTTTCCAAGGCGGCACTAGTCGTGCATTGTTTAAAACATATTTAGCCGAATTTCAGTGGCGCCACAGTCACAAAGAACATGTTTTTGGACAGTATTTACAACTGTTGTGCCACAATTTCGACATATAACTGTCAAATATTATTGGCAGAGTTGCCACTTTTCTTTGACGGAAAGTGTATTGTATTTTTTTTTTAAATTTTTTTCTGCATTTCCTTCTTTTCGTCTGTCATTTCATTTTCTCAGTGACCACACTAGCAGGTGGTACACACTTCATTGATACTGAACATCCTCTTGTGTTTAGATAAGTTGTAGCCAAGTATATCTTCTCTGCTATGTCGTTTCTACTACACATCTTGATATTTTTAAATCCATCAAAGTAGATATGATATTGTTGCAGGTATAACGCAGCGCTCTCTTCAATATACATCAAATGCATTAGATATTTAGAGAAACAGACCGACAGTTTTTTTCTTCTGAAATCCTGATTTGGCTTCTTGTAATTTAATAATCTGATTGAATATACTTTGTGTATTATATATATATATTTATATATATATATATATATATTGTGTGTATCTTATTTATCTTTCTTATAAAAATTCCACTGTGTGGAGGGAGAAAAGGAGCGGGGTGGGGGGGGGGGGGGGGGGGGGGGGGGGGGGGGGGGGGGGGGGGTCACACATGTTTCAGCGACTCAGTTATTATTTCACGGTGCTTAACGGCAGCAGTAAAAATTGATGATGATGATCTTAACGTTGCTACACTGATGATGATAATCTTAACGTTGCTACACCGATGATGATGATCTCAACGTTGCTACCCATCGACACAGCGCTCCGCTCCAATGGATCGAAAAGTATTCCTTCCCACGTCACTTCAGCGCTCCGATGGATCGAAAATTAATCCTCCCCACGTCACTTCAGCCGATCGAAAACTATTTCTCCCCACGGCGCTTAACTTTAAACATTGCGCAGAAGTGAAAACTGATGATGATGGCTTCAATTATTATTTCACGGCGCTTAACGGCAGAAGTGAAGACTGATGATGATGATCGTAACGTTGCTACCCATCGACACAGCGCTCCGATGGATCGAAAATTAATCCTCCCCACATCACTTCAGTCGATCGAAAACTATTTCTCCCCACGGCGCACGGCGCTTAGCTTTAAACATTGCGCAGAAGTGAAAACTGATGATGATGGCTTCAATTATTATTTCACGGCGCTTAACGGCAGAAGTGAAGACTGATGATGATGATCTTAACGTTGCTACCCATCGACACAGCGCTCCGATGGATCTAAAATTATTCCTCCCCACGTCACTTCAGTCGATCGAAAACTATTTCTCACAACGCTTAAACTATTTCTCACAACGCTTACTGTACCATATTTTGTTGTTCCATATTTTGTATAACCTCTTTATAACCCCTTGACCTCTTTGTAACCTCTTGAACCCCTTGAGGCTCTAAAAGGAATGTTTTGGACAGTAAATAATATGGGGCCGGTATTCGGAAGAGTGCCCAGATTTCTGTTATTCTGACCCCTATGAAATAATATATCTATTTGAAGGATATAAATTGAAGTTCGTGATTTTCACAATATCGTTAAAATTAATTGATGTATATGCAAATTATCTCATTTGCATATCTAAAAATAGAAAATATGAATTTGAATTTTCAACTTCAATGCTTGAAACATAAAACTAAAAACAAAAATTTTTTTTATTTGAAATCTTTTTATTGATCTTTGGCCTTTTTACAAATGTTGTAAGCAATTCAAAAGTCAAAAACAGGTACATATATGTGAAACAGCAATAATATCTTTAGGTGACATGTGTTTTTCACCATCAGTCAGCACTAGAAATGGATGTGCCGGAGTGTCAACACCTTCGGGTGGATATACCCTGAGCCATGGTTGTGCTGTGACTGAACACAACAGCGTCCCCATCTGATTCCCACTATCTACTAACACTAAATCCTGCATCAGTATCAACAGAATTAGTGTTATCACTTGATTCAAATGTTTTATTAACATCAAGTTTAGGGGCAGAAACATACGAGTCAGACATACTTTTAGCGGTTCAGGTCACTATCTAAAAAATTCAACAACAATTTTCACTTCGATACCAAACACTCGAAAGTCGCCATGTGTAAAGCTGATACCGCAGTTAATATAAATGAATCACTTTCAGTGTTTCAAAGTAGGAGATTTCTTAGCGGTTCGAGGCGAAACACGATCAGGCCGATCATCGGCCGTTCCGTGTTTTTGGCCAGACATCCGCCGGCCGATAATCGGCCCGTCCGTGCTAAGAGGGTTAATATGAGAATAATTTTTGAAAAATGCAGAGAATACAATGTAGATCTTCATGCTTGTTTTATTGATTATAGCAAGGCATTTGATTGTGTCCAGCACCACCAACTGTGGACTGTTATGAAAAGTATGGGGTTTTCAGTGCATTTAATTGAAAATCTCTATCATGAACAACAAGCAGCCATCACAGCAGCTGGTGAAACATCTGATTGGTTCGAGGTGCAAAAGGGGGTGAGGCAGGGGTGCATTCTCTCACCATACCTATTCAATATATACACAGAAAATATAATGAGAAATGTCAAAAATTACCAGACTTGTGACATTTATGATCCGCTCAAAATTGGTGGCAATCCAATTCCGGAACTCCGCTACGCAGATGACACAGTCCTCCTTTCGAACAGCGTAAAGGGAATAGAAAATTTAATATTGTCTGTCCAAAAGCACAGTGAAGATCAAAATCTGTTCTTGAATTTAAAGAAAATGAAAATAATGTCCACAGATCAAACTGGCTGTCACTAAAAATAACAATAAATGATGAAGAAATTGAAAATGTCACAAACTTTGAATATCTAGGCTCTATAATAAACAGCAATGGAGACTGACAGAAATTAAAAGGAGGATGGCCATAGCAATGCAAAGATTGAACAGCCTTAAAAGTCTATGGTTAAACACCAGCAAGGAGATAAAAATTAGAATTTTGAGAGCATGCATCTTCCCTGTGGCTACATACGGATGTGAGTCGTGGACCATCTCTCAGTCCTTAAGAAAGAGAATAGGGACTTTTGAGCTGAAATGCTATAGAAAGATTCTCAGAATATCTTGGACAAAGAATATGAGTAATATTGACATCTTAAAAGATCTGAACATCAAGGAAGATTGGCTAATAAACAGCATCCTTTCTCGAAAGCTGAAATATTAAGCGCCACGATGGATTGGAAAGAATTATAGCAGAAGGCATGGTACCAGGAAGGAGGGGCAGGAGCCGACCAATACGAAGATGGGCACAGGATATAAGTGACTCCTTGAGTGTGAAAGTTCATGAGGCGGGAGAAATGGCAAGAGTTTCTTTCAGGCAGACTGTGATGAGAGCTACATTCTGCAAAGGACCTGCTACATGCTGATAATGATGAGATAATAAACTCCAAATTTTGGCCGGGCAATAGACAGTTTACATTGTGCTTATGACACAGTCTTGAGAGCAACAAGTCAGAAATAACTACATGAAATGATAGACATTGTGATGGTAGAAAGTGGAAGAATAGGCCTCAGTTTGAATAGTAGAAAGACAGCAGTAATGATGGTATCAAAGAAAAGAATTATTCCTAAATGTGTAATAAAAAGTAAAGTCATTGTTGTTATTTTGGGACAAGTACAGAAATGTAAGTATCTGGGCACATGGATAACATCAAAAGGAAGATGCATTACTGAGATAAGAAACAGAAAAGGACAGGCAAAAACTGCATTTTATAAAATTAAGAACATCTTAGGAAATATATCTTTGTCATTGAGAGTTAGAAAAAGAATTATTGCTTGCTACAAACATCCAGTTTTAACATATGTTGCAGAAAACTTATCACTACATGCTCGCTTTAAAGCTCCAGAAGTCTGGTTGAAATTGGTAGACAAAGAAATAAACAGTCCAGTCCAATCACCCTTATGAACTCATTACTAAAGACCATTGATTCTTACCCCGAAGAATGGATACATGTTTATATTGATGGATCTGCATTCAAAGCTACCATTAAAGCATGTTACAGAATCTACATAGGTTATTCTGGTGGATCTTTTGAAGAGATATTTGATGCATGCAGGGAATTCTACTCAAATTATGAAGCTTAAATAATTGCACTGGAAACAGCAGTAAACCACCTAAAGACTGTAATGGATGTGCAACGACAGCATTAACCATTTAACAAGAAGGGACCAGGCCACCATCTTCAGACTCAGAACACAACATACTCCACTCAATGGACACCTAAACAGAATACAGCCACAACACTCCCCAGAGTGCCAGCTATGTAACTACCCCTATGAAACTGTTGACCATCATCTATTTGAGTGCCCAAAACAACGAGACTAGAAGAATGCTACTCCCTCGGAGACAAGACAAGTGGAACACTTTGTACGGAGGAAAAGAACAGCTCGTGAAAACATGTAAATTCCACTACATAGCATTCAGGTGAGAAATGGATACCAGTGTCTAAAGCAGCTAATTTCACATTCTCCTGTGTCTAGACCCTTGAAAGGAGTTGTCGAGAGCAGAATCCCGCAGTTGTCAATGCCGAGGTATGTGCGCTTATCAGTGACAAGTTAAAGAGACAGATGTGCTGATCTTCACTGACGGGTCCGTTCTTCAGGCAGAACAGTTCAAGAAGCCAGCGGTGTTTTCTCCATGACTGCCAGTGGCATGATGATGGAGATGATGGCAGTTGATACAAGCTTTCATGTGGCTAGAATCACAGGACTGTTACCACGGGTGTATGCTGAGTGATTCCTTGAGCATGATCCGGCGTGTTGAGGTAGGCTGGTTATGCAGACAGTGGATTGAGTCATTGCTAAACTCTCCTGTGTGTGCAGTTACCTTCATATTTATCGCAGGATATGCAGGTGTTGTTAGTAATGAATGAACTGATAGACTGGCAGCTGCCGCATTGACTGAAGATGGCTGGCCCATGGATCATGCAGACATTGCAGATAGAACATTCTGAGGATTTTGGAAGCAAATTGTCCACATGACTGCTAAGAGTACAAGAATTGGGAGTAAAGGTCGACACAGCCAAGCATGAGAAGCACACACCAGGTCACGGCGTGAGTCACCCAGTACATATTGTTATTTAGATCCCAGAGATTGTATGTCTTTGAATGCTTCACTCTGTTCATCTTTTGATTACCTTTTTTTTTTTTTTACAATTAAAGATAACACATTAAAAAAAAAAAAAAATTTATTAGTGAGCTGTATAAAATTGTTCTTTTTGTTGATTTTTCTTTAAAAATGTATTCTGGTCTTTGTCCATTTGTTAGCATTACCAGGGCAAAAGTGCTACTGTAGCAGTTATCGTTTCATCACGATGTTATTGAATAAATACTACTAGCTAAAACTAGCAATAATATTATCAGCGTGGTTAAATTAGCTTAAAAAACAAAAAAGACAAAAAACATATACTCATTTAAGTATTTTCATGAGATCATAAATCATATTTGAAGCAAGAGATGTCATCCATCTTAAACCATGAATGGATATTATATAAAGTTATATAACATTTTATGAAGCGACTGAGCGCGCCCTGGCTCGGTTGCCGATCATCTGATAGACTGCGACGCCTAGCGGCACAAGCAGATTTTGACAAAAGAAGATATAACATTTTACATCTATTTGCTTTAATATGTAACTCACCATTCCTTTCAGATTGTCTGTGTTCACAGTACTACTAAGTGACTCCCTCTCTGAAGCCCAAGTCTTAGATAAGATGGATAGTACAGTTCTATCAAGTGTCAAGATCGAACAATCTGATGTTTGTCTAGAAAACCAAGATGTTCACAGTTCTAGTAAAGAAACGTTCACTGAAGACCATGTCTGTCATAAGATCAACAGCAAAATACCATCAGATGTCAAGATAGAACAACCTGAAGTCTATCTAGAACACCCAGCTGTTCACAGTTTTTCTGAAGATGCTCTCACTGAAAGCAGTTTTTATGACAAGATAGATTGTAATGTACCACAATTTGTCAAGATAGAAGAACCTGATCTTGATTTTGAAAACCCAGGTAAGACTAAATTCAATTACAGCAGAAGATGGTATAATGTTTATTTCTAGTTTTTTATGGCTGTTTCATAATGATTCATTTTTTAACCAACGTTAGGACAATCTTCCAGGCACATCTATGGATGATTTGCACCACACAGTAATCGATGGTCAACAAAATTATA